TTGCTTAAAATCCCAATGTGTGTGGCCAGCCTTTCTTGTGTTTGATTGCAGCTTACTGTGGTTTAATTAACTACTTATTAGGATATTGTTTGTTACTATGGTTACCAATGATTTACACCTGTGTGTGGTTTAGTTGCTTCTGTTTGTCTCAGTATAAAAAGCTTAGGAATTTCAGTTTCTTTCCTAAAGTCTGTGTCTCTCCTAACATTTTAAAATAGGAAATGTTTCTTGCTTTTAAGTAGTTAAAGTTGTATAGTTGTTAAATTAAATGTATTTAATTTAATGCACATAAAATAATAGAAATGTATAACTCACACAGCTGGTTAAGAAGCTGAAATTACAGACGGAAATAGCCTGCATATATTAGGTTATTACTATTTTGGTATCTCATATACACCGGCTGCTGTAAATCTAGTTTTAAAGCAACGAGTTTGTTGAGGTTGTTTTTAATTTGCATGTGTTATTAAATTAACTAAAAGTGGCATCAGGTTAGCAGAGCACTTTCAAACGGCAAAAGTTGATACTAAATTACTTGTGTGCAACCTAATTAATATTCATGACACAAGCTGTCATCACTGTGAGAGGTTACACTCTGCCGAATCAATCACCTGAATCTAAACTTGCTTGTTTTTTGTTTTTGTTTTTTGGCTTTTTTGCCCACTTCATCCTTATAATCGAACAGATGTTGATCCAATTGAAAGATTAACTCTTTGTATTGAATAAATGATTGTTTTTACATTTAGCGATTAAAATATTATGCTAATGTACCTTTTTTCATGTGACACCATCTACAATAGATCTGTCCTCCATGTGTTAGCAGAGGTGTCTAATGGCCAGTGTCACACAACCTGAGTTAGATGCATTCCTGTGTCAACATGTTTGGGAACATAATTTCTGTCCAAATATTTATTACAAACCAAATCCTTACCCCTAAACAATAATAATAGATTTTTCCTGAAAGAAATAATAGGGGAATAAAAATTATGTAAATGCAGACATATTATGCCCTTTTCATAAGATGTAAAATAAATCTCCGGTGTCCCTAGAATATGGCTGTGAAGTTTTACACCACAAAGATAATATGGTTTAGTTTGTCAAATTTGCCCTTTTTTGTGTGCCCCTTTAATACAAATGCAAAAACTGCTACTATCTGACATGCCAGAAATAACAAAACAAGCCAATTTCAGCCAGACAAAATGTCTGATATTGTCAGTAGTAGAGCTGCTCGATACTAGAAATATATGTAAAACAATATGTGATGTTGTTGAGTAAAAGTTGTATAAGTAACTATAATAGTAATTGTGATAGCAATATTTCTTAAAAATTAAAGGTGCACTAGGTGATCTGCCAGAATGCTAGCATTAGATTAACATTTTTTTACGACCCTCCCCCACTGTCCAAAGCCATGCCTTCCTAAGTCATGATCATGCGAATCCGCACTGATTAGATATAACACTAAATTATGTCATTCACCAGTTAAAACACTCCATGGAGACACACACTTTATCAAGCAAAGTTGTTGACAGGCCAGCAGGTGCTGGAATTATATTTCCTCAACAAATGTGTAAATATAAGTCAAACTTCACCAAAGCTGGTTAGGGGAAAGAGCACATTTACTTATGTTTTTTTATAAAACTAGATAAAAATCAGATCAGAAAAAAGGGAGTGCTGAAAACAGAAAGATCCCGTCATCTTTTTACAATACACTCACATTACCAATGAGTAATTGTAATGAAGTTTACAGCCTTTTGGCCGCCGGGAAGGAGGAGGCGGAGAACCAACAAAGTTTTAAAATATTTATTAATAACAGGGAAACCAAAACAAATGGACAACAGCTCCTCACGAAGACTGCCGTCAAACGGAAAACAAAAGTAAAATAATATGTCCGGGCCCGGTCCTCTCTCGGCTTCCTCGGCCATCGTTCCTCCTCTTATAGTCCAGAGCTCCTTCCGTGAGATTCAAGGCCGGTATCCACTTACGCGGCGGCCTCATTCTGTTCCTACTGCTCTCGGCCCCGCCCCTCGCCACAGTGACTTTTCAGTTTCATTGTCAAGTGTGCTCGCTGATCCTCGTACATTGCTTGTTTCATCTCTTTTTTTTCATTTGAACAACTAAACAAATGCTCAGGTCTATATTTAACTGACTTTATTATCGATGCTGTAAAACTTGAAAATAGCCAATCTTCTGCCGGACGTTTTCAGTGGCTGAACAACACTACCGTGCATATAAACCCATTCATGAAGAACAACACAGTCTGCATAAGCTTTGCGTGGCTAAAATAGTTTTAAAACATACCTGACTAAAAGAAATTCTGGTGTCCGTGATTTCACTCTTCAGATCATTGTTTTGAACTGCATATCGTCATTTCTCTCGAGCGTGCAAAAGTAATTCCAATGTTTGATTCAGGGTTTAGAAAAGTTTTGATTCTGCATTTTTGGCAGAAGCCCTTTCAGAAACAATCCGTTCTTTTCATGCATACAAGGCCACGCTGGTCTTTCAGAAAGAAGTTCAGGTTGATGCAGAGTTTGCAGATGTTTCTCTGTCAGCGGTAGATCCGTGCTTTACGGGTGTGTGCGAGTGACGGATCTTTCTGCTTTAAGAGGCTGCGCTCTTTCTGCTTAAAGAGGATACCTGTCGTAAATGAGTTATTTGTCGGTCTGACAATATTTAATTGGATGAACATTTTTTAGTTTTATGCCTGATCCAGAATATAAAAACAAATATAAATCCATTTAGATCATTTGCTTTATTCATTACTATTGTAATGTGAAGAGACTTTTAACCAGTGGCAAAAAATTTTTTTCTGAAGACGATGACCTAACGCACCTTTACCATTTCTCTATGAAAAATACTGTTTTTATTAGCTATTTTTAAAAGCATTTATTTAATGATGTTTGAATAACCAAAAAAGTAAAATATTTTTAAAGATCTAATTAATTAAAAAACTATCGATGTACATGCACTATGTCTTTAAAAAACTATGAGTGAAAACCTCAGCAGATATTCTGAGAGCGAGTGACATCTGGTGACCTCCATCTACGCGAGTGACTATTGATAGCGACGCATCAAAGTTGAGAATCCTTCAACTTCATCCAAACAAACTTTCTTGAGCAACAGCCAATAGAAGCACCAGTAGAGCTCATGTGATCCTCTCTCAGCTCACTCGCTGGTTGTATTCGTGCTGTATAGACCTACACAGACCTGCGTTTGCAGCAGGTCAACACCCAGAGCATCGGGCAGCTACTAAGTCACTGCTAGTGTGAAACAGGCATTATGTTTACAGTATTTTCAGCTCTGTTTACCTTTGGGTCACTCCAGTCAGTAGCAGAACATCGACTACTGGTGAGTTGGGGATAAAAATAGTAAGGCCCCAAATGATTGGTCTAGTTTAGATAAACAACCCACATAGCAAAATCTCCCTGGCCCAGCTTTAGCCCACACAATCTTTTGCTGGCCCACATGCCTTTGTGATTTACACTGGCGGTGAGTGTTTTCAGGATAAATATAATAAAATAGCTCTGGTATATGTAGATACACGTAGAGACAATGGTAGCTTTAGCCACATTAGCCATATAGCATGTTAACAACACATTAACAAAGTGACATATTTGTTCTGAGGTTAGAGCTCAAAGCGTTAGTATTGACCCATGCTTTAGAAAAAAAATGAACTGACACTGACTGTATTTTGTGGGTTTAGATTGAGGGCTGTTAATGTACAGTATAATAAGTTAAATTTGAAGTTTGCTGAGGCAACTCCTTGACTCCCTTTACTTTCAGGTAAAATGCATAAGGATTAAAAATATCACCACTATTAGTGTTACAACTTTTATAATGCAAATTGGGTCAAAACAGCTGTAAAGTATGTTGTTCTCACACGGACAAACCATCATTTAAATTTAGGCTGTAAAGCCTAAAGTAAAGCCTGCTCACACTGAGATTTCATCCACAATTTGTCATCTGAGACAAATTTGGGAAATCCTAAAAGATTCTCGAAATCCCAGGCTAAAATGTGGTCTTTGATCGTTGGCTTGACATGTTTACAGACAGCCTCTTAATGCGTGTAGCAATCAGATTTTCTGTCCGATTATTTCAGACACTTTTCTGCAGTGTGACAACAGCTGCAATAAGCGTCAATCCAAGAAAAAATCGGCAATCATTTTAGTCACTTTTCAAATTAACCTAAAATTAACAAAATACGAACGTCTAATGATGTTACAGCTTGACAGTGTTTGGACGTTACCACTATGACGTCTATCAGACATTGGATTTTGCTTGATAAATAAAAGCCAGTATTTGATGTCAATATGATGTTGATTTAAGATGTTGGCTTGACGTTAGATTTTTGGTGCCTTTACAACACATTAACAAAATATCAACGTAATTTTTCATCATTATTGGACGTCACAATAACGTCCTTAGAAAACTTAACCTAAACATAACCTAATATTAACATCTTATGACGATATGTGTCTGCTGGGTACATACAGATGCTTACACATTTGGCACTAGATGCATCTTAACAGTGTAAACAGTGTAATTTGTTTTGTTAAGTCTCTCCTTTCACTCTAAAAAAACTTTGTAAGAGCTGAATGATATAACACTATGCATAAAAGTGCATTAAACCCTTAACAGTGAACATGTGTCTCTTGCATCATTAGAAAAATGGATAGAAAATTTCATACTTATTAAACTCATTGGGATGAACAGATAAGACCCCAGAGCTGTCCCGTTTTCAAAATAAGAGTCTTACATACATGGGAAACATATTAAGCTGTGTTAAACTTTTTCAAAATATTTATAATACATAAATAATGTGAATATAAACTCTTGTGTCCATTTTTAAAACATCTTAATTGTTGTAACCTTATGACAACTGAGACCTCACAATATGACAGACAATATTTGTAGTCTGACAATCTACAATAATAAATAGCTATTTAAAAAAAAAATGCGTGTGAGCCGGTCTTAAATCTTATTGGTTGATTGGGATGTTGTTCCAGGTTCAACAGAGATGCACTTGGAAGAATCAGGTTCTGGTCGCCCACAGGGTGAGGGCAGCAGGGAGATGGGTGGCTGACGCAGGCCGCAGCGGCTGTGCTACCTATCTTGGTTTTGAAGGAAAGCAGAGCTGACAGAGGCCACCTCAGGAGACGGCTCAGTCTCCGTCAGCGCGCTGAGAGGAAGAGGCAGGGTCTGTCAGGGGTCCTCCATCGCTGCGGAGAGCGACGTACCCCCATCCTGCTGCTGTCTCCACTGCACCCAGTCACTTTACCCACCACACATACAGAGAGGAAACGAACAGGTACAGTACAGTCAGCAACATCCAGTCTAGCGTATACAAGTGTTAGGGAGACCGGGAGACAGACGTAGTCACTGGAGATATTTCTCAGTTAGTGTTTTTGGTTGGATTGTGAAAATTCAACACATTCAGAAGACTTTAGGGTGGGGATGATAAGATTTGATTGTTTTTAAGCAGAGTTTCTTATGCATGCTAAGGCTACATTCAATTGATCAAAATACAATAAGAAAACTAATATTGGGAAGGATTTGAAATATTTTAATACTTTTTTTTTTATTCTTGTGAAGTAATTATACTACAGAAGTCAATGTTTCTCTCAGAAATAAATGAAATATGGGGATTTGTGTTAAAAAAATAAGTTGTGCTGCCTAATAGTTTTGTGTAATCCATAAACTTTCCTTTATCATAAAATTGGATTGTCAGGATGAAAAAAGGGAAAAACTGGCTCATTATGGACACGTACCGCTGTCTACATTTCTGGAGAGCAGGAATTATGTAGCCAGAGGTACGTCTGGCTGCATTTCATCTTTCAATGAATGCTATAGGACAGAAAGACGCTGCTCACAGGTTCTGTTCATTTTAGAACTATACCAGCTGACTGCTTTTCCTGTGTTCCCAGTTTTCACAGTAGCTTGCTGCATAAGTCGGTAGACTTGGGACGCAGAGAATAGTTCCAGAACTGTTCCAGAAACCATTCATTCATTAATTTTCTTTTTCGGCTAAGTTCCTTTATTAATCTGGGGTCGCCACAGCGGAATGAGCCGCCAACTTTTCCAGCTTATGTTTTATGCAGCAGATTCCCTTCCAGCTGCAAACCATCACTGGGAAGCATCCATACACATTTCCTATACCACATGTCTTTGATCCGTGGGGGAAACTGGAGCACCTGGAGGAAACCACACGATCAAAGGCAGAACATGCAGACTCCACACAGAAATGCCAACTGACCTAGCCGAGGCTCGAACCAGCGATCTTCTTGCTGTGAAGCAATTGTGCTACCCACTGTGCCACCGTGATGCTTCCAGAAACCAGGTAGAACAAAATAAATAACTGAACAAACAACAGACTGAAAACTTGGTGAAATCACGTGGCCATGACGCCTTTTCTTTTTCTAGATTGCCATTGAAAACACCATCGGATGGGCTTAGGGAAGGGGGTGGGTGGGTCAGTCAGTCCACAGCAAGCAGGCCTGGTCAGCTGAACTGTATATTATGCCCTCTGATGGATTTACGCGTAAGGAATTTGTGGTCATTAAAAAGCATATAGAGTGGCCTCTGCCGGATTTGCAAAACAAAAACTCCGGTTACGTATTTAGCTGTCCCCAGAAATATAAACCTGGGTACGTACCCACAATGAGCCTGGGGTGCAACAGGGGATTCAAGCATAAAAAAAATCATCAAATTATTTCTTTTATACTGTATGTCCTATACATTACTGTGACATGTTTAAGTATGTTTAATTTAATTTAAGTTTCCTGATATTTATACCATCATTTACTGAAGATTCCCACCAAATGTATTTGTATCACAATGAATTATTAGGACAAACTTAAATAACTTATTTTTAAAATGTATATACTTCAACAACTTGCCCTAGTCTTCCTTTTAAAGTTTTAAGCATGGTTTTTGTATTTCAAAATTAAGTTTTTTAAGCTTGATACTCAAACTCATTGGTCATTAATACAGCATAATATGCATTCAAAACAAGTTGGACAATCAGTCAAATGCATATGACTTAAGTTTTCCTGTTAAACCATTTTGTTCACTGAACTCCTCCATCTGTTTTACTGCATGTCCAATTCCACTCGTTCCCACAGCAAACTGAGAGCTTGTCACCTATACCCTTTCAACCAGGGCCATCAGTTTTAATTCTGCTAACTTTCTTTTTCTGTCAAAAATGGTGTGGAGGAAGAGAAACGAGTGGAGAGAAAAGGGAGACAAAGGGAGAGCACCCTTCTAACTTTTATCTGTGCGGCAAAATGCTGTTATCCTCGAGTGGTGTCAAGAACTCTATCTCTCGCACGCTTTCTCCCCCTCCTCGACCAGGTGACAAGCACAAGACGAGAGAGAGATAAGATTGGAAAAGAATCCCACTCCACTGAGTAAATAAATAATCAATACTCATCTAAATGTAAATGAGAAAGTAGCCCTCTTTGATAGCATCGTTTTTATCAACCAACCAATTTTCCTCAGACACTCACTGGGCCTCAACCAAATCACCATCATTCAGCGTCCGAGTAATGGAGAAGAAAAAAGAACTGTGAGACAGAGAGAGAGAAAGAGAGAGAGAAGGAAAGGAAAGCAAGTGTGAATGGGTCACCTGAAACCTCAAGTTCAGTCAACCTTCACCAACACCATTTCACAACAAATGCCATTTCATTTTGTCGCACTACTTTATTTTTTTTTTCTCCATTGAATTTCTGATACTCTTGTCAATTACCGCTGGCGCTGAGCTTTCAGCGTATCAGTGTCTATATCAATTGCCGCTGCCAAATCGCCTTTTGTCCCTGTTTTGAGTCACTTTTTATCTTCATAACTTCTGCATGTCAGTCCGAGGTAGTAATTTTGAGTCGTGCTCACGTATCGGTGCCTTTTTAAAATACAAACTGTATTGATTTCACCTTCCCGGGCTTCATGAGGGCAGGTTGCATGAGAGGGTTTTTCACTTCACTTGTCAGTGGCTGTCAAACTGCGGTGTGAAAGATAAAAAATGTGTTGGCTTAGTGAAATAAAAAAAAGTAAGGGCAGGTTTTAAAATATAAATTACATCAGGAGAATAGATTAGGACTTGGGACATGCTGTTTGAAAAGTGTTAACAGAAGCTCCTTGACCCGGCCGTACACTTGATGGGTTTGTGGAGACAAACATACACACTGACAATAGGGAAAAACATAATAAAAATAATAGAAAATGCAGCAAAGATAGTGATGGCTGCTGTAACTACACAACTCTAGAAGCCTAGAAAATGGATTCACCGAATGAAACCTTCGCTATTGTTTACTTTATTCTTCAACACTGTGTTATTTCTGATTTATTATAAAGTATGTGAAGCACAAAATGAGATGTCTAAGCTTTTGTTGTGCACACTGGTCACAAAAGCAAAAAACAGGTGTTTTTAAAGTCATCTCTGAAATGAAGGTACTCCAAGTTACAAAATCTATTATGGATGTTCCAAACAACTTCCAAACATTGGTATTTGGACTTGTTTTAAGGCATTTTTCTATACAAAAATATATACTTGGACAAAGAAATACGAAATGTGTAAAAACATGAAAGCAGTCCAACAGCAGCATGTGATGTAAGCCTTTTCTAAAGTGGTATACTGTGTATAAAGATTAGCTATTTTTTGTATTTTCTGATTCATGTTTTTTGTTGTTTATGCTTTTGGATTGCATTATGATACCTTGATTTTTCCTCCAGAAGCCATTGATGTTGAAAAATCTTTTTTTTTATTATTATTATTTTTTTTATTTTGATACTTTGAAGTGATATATTGTATGGGTTAGTGTACAAAAGCGGATACTTTTCCTGTTATATTAGAGACTTATTTCTGTATATAATATTACTTATACAATATATTGTTTAAATTTTTTTACAAAAATGTCAATAAAAGTTGATTTTTAATCTGCGTAATTGAATTTTTTTTAACACTGACAGTAAACAGAGCAAAGATAAAGGCCTCAGTATGCCATTCTTAACTGAATACTTGGAAAAAAACCTGTGAATACAGAAAATACAGAATCTGTTAATCAAAAGATATCTTTTACAGTGTAGCAACAGAATTTAGCTAGAATTTAGAATTTACCCCTGGGAGATCACAGGACAATGAAGGGGGTTGATTGGTGATTTCTGAAAGTCTTATTAATTTTATTTAAACATTAGTATTACCATATTATATCCATAATCTACTGATATTAAAAATAGCAGTTTATTGTTACAGCCTTTCGATTATATATTTAAATTAAATTGCAACCCTTGAGGAGATTACATTATATTAAAGACATAGCAATAGCAGATTGATTTTTATGACACCAGGTTAAATTACTGGCACATTTACATTACTCACATACAGAAAGAAAAATTAAACAAAGAATAAACTGGAGCTTATTGGGGTTTGTGCACCCTTGCATGCAAGGTTTCTATATTTATAACCACCTCAGAGGATATTGGGGCTTGCGAGTCACTGGCATGGTTATTTTAGCGCTTGTAGGCTGAAAAGTTTGGAAACCCCTGATCCAGAGTAAAGGCCAAACACAATACATTCTCTGAGGTAACTCACAGGCTGTAATACTCATTGCATTCGGGATATTATTAATAGGTAATAACAATAGCAGTATAGAACAAGTATTTTTATTTTATTTTATTTTTTTTACAAATACAGAGTTATTCAATTGCCTTGATTTTATCTTAATTCCTTTAATTTAAGTGAATCTAGCACAAGGAAAACAAGTATTGGATTGGGAATTGTCAGGTACTCAATGTTAATAGATTTCATATTGATTAGTGGCACAAAAACCCTAATCAGGACATCACTAGCACTAATGTACCATTTAGAGGTAAATAATGTAAAAAAAAAATCTTAAAATTTATAGCAGAGATGAACCAAACTCAAGCTCGCGTGTCAAAGTTGGTCTATGGTAACCTTTGATTTGGCTCCCCATCCCATCTGTGAAGAGTAAAAGAATATGTGGTTTAGAGATTGTCATTAAAAATCTAATATAAGCTTTTGTTTTATTGTAAAATATTAATTTAATTTAAATGTTTCAATTAAATATTGTAAATTTATTAGATTTAGTTTAAATGTTAAATATACTGTTACCTGATAGATAGAGGACAATGCAGAGACATTGGTGAGCAAATCAAGGCAGATTCTGTTTGACTAGTGTATTCAGCATTGAACTTCACTGTTCACTGTTATGTTTTTATTGCAATACATTATTTTAAAAGTTACACTGCATTAGTTAGTAAAATTTACTGTAATTTTTTTTAATTTATTTTAAAATTTTATAAAAATTAATCATGGCAATTTTAATGTAATAAAGTTTGGTATATTAACTATTAAACTTTATTTGAAAGTGTGATTACCCATTAGTGTCTCTTTTTTAGTTCACAAGTGTTAATCATGTTGATGTATTAAACGTACCAAAATAATAATAAAAACAATAGCAAAAACCTTTCAAATACATTGTTGTTGTGAACTTCTACTCATCCAAAAAATTCTGGCCAGATAATGTATCATGTTTTCCACAAAAAAATCACAAAAAGTACAACTGTGACTAATTGTAAGATTACTTGACCAATAGCATATTTGGGCCTTTCCATGAAAAAAAAAAAACAAAAAAATGTATTTTCCAACAGAAAGAAACCCAATCCTCTCCCAATTCAACCCTTTGTCCAAAAACAAATTGACATGCATGCATTTCTAAGCGCTTGCATTTGACCCTCAGCCCTCTCCCTGACTGATCTAGTTGGGAAGAGTTGAAAGTGGTTCTCTCCATCTTCCCTCTGTCACACGAGGAGGTGCTAAACATGGCTGACAGGCTGAGGAGAGCGAGAAGCACGAGTCCCCCCTCTTACTCGGCCCTGATCCGAGACCTGTAAGGGCCATGTCCAGAGCGAGGGCAGGGGCCCAAACTCGCCCTGACAGCTCCTCGACAGATCTCACAGCCTTACTGACATCTGGACGTGCGCTGTAAAATCGGAGGAGTTCAAACCAATTTGGAGATGGAGCCCAGGTGACACGGGGGGACGGCTCG